AGGTCTCTCAAGGGGTTATGTAGCCAATGCTGACAGGTATAAATTCCGGCCACTACCAAAAAGTTCTGAAGGACAGAGGAGAACTTTCCAATTTCTTCTACCTTGACTCTCTCCTACAGACTTACAGGTTCCTGTGCGTTGGCAAGCTACATGGTGGACTTGACTGGCAAACATGTGACCTAAGTATAACAGGTAAAGTGGGAAGAGGTGATATTTTTGTCATCCACAGGGAAGAAATGACTCTCGAGTTCACTCTGCCAGCCTTAGCAAGGGAGGTCTGGATACCTGGACAAGGTGATGTGAGACTTGGGGATGAGGGCCGGAGCTCAGAAAGGAAAGGTGGCTATTTATGCTGGCTTTTGTGTAGAACTTTGTGACATGTGGACAACAGGAGAAAAGGAAAGAAGAAAGAAGGCCATCATTTCGCTGGGTGACGACAGAGCGTCGGAATCGCAAACTCCAGACGGCACCACTGTTGACTCGCGGCTGAGTCAGAGTAGATGGGGCTGCTCACGTGCTCCGAGACCCCCTAGTGCCTCCTTATGCCACATGCATGACATTTCCAGCTGAAGAACAATGTCCCAATCCTTCCGGCAAAGAGGAGAGTGCTGGGAATATTTTATAAAGTCTGTGTTTACAAAATTTAAAGTTGATCATTTTAAATTTCTCAGTTCTATCAGGTGCACAACGTCGCTTTTCTTGAAGATCCTCTTTCACCTTTCTAAGAGCCCGTCCCCAGGGAGAGGGAGGATATTCTTTGAGATGAGTTTTCTTAAAGGGATTTCTAAAACAGACCAAGTTCCTGTTCATGTCAACATGAATATTACCTAATGATCTGTCCCTCTGTCATCAGCAAAGAGTGTAAATGTAACTGGAGCAACTGGGGTGGGGGGGGGGCAGGCAGGAGGTCAGAGACCAAAAACAGGACTCCAGGCCAAAGACAGTACCAGAGGCTCCTGGAGTATGGAAAGGAAGCCCATCATCTCCAGTGAGGCTGCTCATACACTTCGGGGGGAGAAGAAAACCGCTAATAGGCATTAAATGAGAGAAACCGAGAAGGCAACGGTGTAGGAAAGCAATTCCAGAGCGGCTGCATAAATAGAAGTATTACATTATAAAACAGGGAACTGTTTGTTCCAGTCCATAGACCCCGGGTGAAATGGCAGCTGTACACTATTTAGTTTGGGGCACCTCATTAATAAAAAGGGAATTCTGAGCAGAGTGAAAGAAAGAATTGAGGGGTGAAAGGGACCAGCTTTTAACGGAAGATTAAAACAATGACGTATGCAGAGCTGGCAGAAAAAGAAAAAAAAAAAAAAATAGCACAGACCCTGAAAGAAGCAGGTCTACGTATCTACGTATATTGGTAGAAGGAAGGAGAATCCTGTGAAGTGACTCAACAGCAGAATAATGGAGCACAGCAGGATCACACAGAGGCCAAAATACCCCGGTAGAGAACAGGGTCCCCCCACAGCCAGGTGGATGGCATGAAACGGTCTCAGTCTCCGGCCGCAGAAGTGAGCCTGTGGGTGTCGGTCCCCCTCCCTCAGTCCTGAGAGCACTCACACGCAGAGGGACAGGATCAGAGACCAAAGTGAGGCCTCACAGCTGAGGCATTTAAACTTGAACCTGAACAGGAATTTGAAAGACACATGGGAAGGGACAATCCTGCAGTGACCTGGAGGTGACAGAAATTATCCTGGTGCCCAACAGCACTGTCCTGAAGACATAGTTTATACTCACTGTAAGGGGAACTTGCCTCTCCACAGTGATATGAAACCTCAACCACTCGAGCGGGGAGGAGGACTCCTACACTGTGGTGTACCTGTCCTTTGCGAATCACAGTCTCATTTATGTGGAGAAGGCAGCGAGGACAGGAGCAGGTGGGCAGAGGGCTTAGGAGGGACTTAGGCGGGGGTGCCTCCAGGAAGAACGAGGCCGAAAGGAAAACTGACATAGCAGAGTGTCCGAGATCAGGCAATGTCTCCTTCTGGCGGAGTAAGGTTAGCCATGAATTAATCATAAGTACCGAGAAAACCAGGGAAAACAAAAAGTTGTACAAGAAGGTAAATGAAATTAGAAAACTCTACATGGCAGTGATTAATATTTATAGAGTTACAGTGATGAAAACACTGAATATTAATATAATCCCAAATTATTATTTCATCATAATGGAAGATGGAGGGAGGGGAAGATGGAGCGTGGGGGTGTTGGGTGTGGTGTGGGGAGGTGTAGGAGTGTGGGGGTGCAGTACCTGGATTCGTGGGCAGAGTGTGTGGGGGTGCAGTGGGGGGTGTGTGTGCGAATTTGTGGCTGGGGTATGTGTGTGAGTGGGGTGAGCTGTACAAGTGGTACAAGTGGGTGGGTTTGCAGAACAGCACACCAGTGATATCCTCATCGTCCAGAGTAGAAGGCCAAGTGATAATGTCTAAAACTTAAAAACAATCAAGAAACAGTAGTAGGAGCATGATGAGAAATCAGGAAATAACAAAAGAAGCATCTATTTTTTTTTAATTATTTTTATTTTGTCAATATACAATGTAGTTGATTATTATGTCCCATCACCGAAACCTCCCTCCCTCCTCCCTCTCCCCCCTCCCACCCAAGTGTGTCCCCTCCATTTGCTTGTTGTAAGAACTTCAAAAATAATAATAATAATAATTGTGGTTGTTATATCTTCCTCTCCCCCCCCCGCGCGGGTTTTTTTTTTTGTTATTATTGTTGTTGTTGTTGTTTGTTTGTTTTTTTGTGTGTGTGAGAGTGTGTGTGTGTGTGTGTGTGTATGTGAGTGAATTAATTTATTTATTTTTAGCTCCAACAAATAAGTGAGAACATGTGGTATTTCTTTTTCTCTGCCTGACTCATTTCACTTAATATTATTCTTTCAAGGTCCATCCATGTTGTTGCAAATGGCAGTATTTCATTAGTTTTTATAGCTGAGTAGTATTCCATTGTGTAGATATACCACATTTTCCGTATCCACTCATCCGATGATGGACATTTGGGCTGATTCCAGCTCTTGGCTATTGTGAAGAGTGCTGCAATGAACATTGGGAAACAAGTATACCTTCGACTTGATGATTTCCATTCCTTTGGATATATTCCCAGCAGTGGGATAGCTGGATCGTATGGTAGATCTATCTTCAGCTGTTTAAGGAACCTCCAAACCATTTTCCATAGGGGTTGCACCATTATGCATTCCCACCAACAATGTAAGAGAGTTCCTTTTTCTCCGCAACCACACCAGCATTTATCTTTCAGCGTCTTTTGGATTTTAGCCATCCTAACTGGGGTGAGATGGTATCTCAGTGTGGTTTTGATTTGCATTTCCCGGATGCTGAGTGATGTTGAGCATTTTTTCATATGACTGTTGGCCATTTGCATATCTTCTTTAGAGAAATGCCTACTTAGCTCTTTTGCCCATTTTTTAATTGGGTTGCTTGTTTTTTCCTTGTAAAGTTGTTTGAGTTCCTTATATATTCTGGATATTAGTCCTTTGTCAGATATGTATTTTGCAAATATTTTCTCCCACTCTGTTGGCTGTCTTTTAGCTCTGTTAATTGTTTCTTTTGCTGTGCAGAAACAAGAAGCATCTAAAAGTCGAAAGCCATTCCCCTGGGGAATGGGATGGGGGAGGGTCAGGCCATTTTTTCGTAAGGGTTACGTAACTTTCTGCCTTTAACGATCGTAAGATTGTGCAACTTGACAGCATTCAGATGAGACCCCACGTGGCTATGACAGCACAGTGACTGAGAGGCTGCTGGGGGTGGAGGGCAGCCTTGAGGCTCCAGTGTGGCCAGGTCACGAGGCGAGGCGCACTCAGAAGGAAAGAGAAGTCTGGTGACTAGAGTCGTGAGCTCAGTGTCCATGAAGCTGGCCAAAAGCATGTGACATCACCAGGAGATGAAAGCCTCTGGAGGCCGGGGGCAAGGACTGGGGCCTGACACTCCGTGACCAGGTTGGGGGCCACGAGCAGGGACGGGAGTTCAAGAGAGGCAGGAGCACTGGGGAGGAACCCGCACTGGATGCCAAGAGGAGGGAGCTTCAAGAAGGGGCCAGGTGACAATTCCAAATGCTACGCAGAGACATGAATAAGAAGGACCAGCAGGTAGCCGCTGGGTCAGGTAAAGTGGAAGCCAGTGGTGCCCTTCACCAGGGTGGCTTGTGACAGGAGGAAACAGGCATTGGCAGGCTGAGGCGTGGACCAGAGAGGAGCAATACAGATGTTCTTCCAGCAATTCCGAAGAGTCTGTTGTAGAGAGAGCGCGGGACCTAGGGCTAAGGGAGAGCCTTCGTTTCACCGTTTTTAAAGAGGCAAGTGGCTGTTCTGTGCTCCACGTTAAGAGGAAGGGACCGGAAGATTGAGAAAATGGAAGAGAGGAGGTGCCTCTGCCAAATGAGGTCCCGATGGGAGGAAGAGTCACAAAGAGGAGGAAGGGAGGATGAGAGAAGGTGACTGCAGAGGCGAGACAGAACGGGAGGTGAAAAATGGGCACATTCCTGCTGGGAGGTCTCGACTCTGAGGTAGTGAGCAGCACTGGCCCACGGACCAACCAAGTCCCTCTCAGATACAGTCATAAGTGTCATAACAAAGACTTGTTTCGACCCTCTCTAAAGTTGACTTTTACAAACCAGACCTTGAGGCCACACACTGTCTATTCTGGATACTGAGCAAGACACACAATTCAGCATACATTGGGTCTAGAAGTACACACTGGAGGAAATCTGGGGATAGGGGACAGACTTCTGCTGGCCTGCTCTGCAGGCAAACCTATGACTTCCCTAAGGCTGAGCATACGCCTGAAGAAAAGTGCTGCCAGGTTTCTTTAAAAAAAATAAAAATAAAAAGCAACAATCCAGGCACATTGTTTCCAGAACACAGCGGTCACCTGCAAGGTCAGCAATGGACAGGAGGAGCAGCTGCACCAGTAATGTTTTCCTCCAACAGAAGCCCTCAGAGGCTTCTGGAGGTTGACACCCAGGCCCACAGGACGACTCACCTGGGTCGGTGGAGGGGCACCTGCGGATGGTGAAGATCTGCCCCAGGTCCTCATCCTCCTCCGGAAGGCCCTTCTGCAGCCGCTGCAGCTTGCGCAGGCTCTCGCTGCGCTGGTGCTTCATGGAGCGCACGTGCTGGATGAGGTTGAGCTTGGCCTTAGTGGAGTAGTTGCACAGGACACAGTGGTAGTAGCAGCTCTCGCCCTCCAAGCCGCTCTCGTGCTGCTGCAGGTGCTGCGGGGACAAAGGAGAGGGACACGCCTTGGGTGAGCCGCTGGAATCCCACCATTGCATGAGCCCAACCTGTCCTGGTAGCAGCCAGAGGCATGCCACTGGGGACACGTCTCCACAGCCAAATGGGACAGTTGTTGATTACGGGATTCCTTAGAGGAGCTGTCTTTGTTTTCCTGTACCCATCCCTAGCAGCTCTCTGAAGACATCAGCAAGCTGACTTGCATTCCTGTCTCCCCCAATGTCCCCTTTCGCGTGACTTCTCAGAATGCTGGGAATACTGCTGATCAAATAGGCGCTCCTAGTGTAACACTGGTTTTCCTGGCACAAACATTAAAAGGGTCCCCCTTCCACTTTCCAAAGTGTCCTGCTTTACTTAGACTAGAGGTAGGCAAACTATGACCTGCAGGCCAAATCCGGCCTACTGCCAGTTTTTATAAATAAAGTTTTATTGGAATACAGCCACATCCATTACTTTATGTACCATCTATGGATGCTTTTGAAACACCAGAGTTGAACAGGATTATGACAGAAATGGTATGGTCCACAAAGCCTAAAATATTACTATCTGGCCCTTGACAGAAAAAGCTAGCTGGTCCCTGTTTTAGGTGACAGCCTATGGTCACCCTACCTGAACAGCACCCTAGGTCAGCAGTACAGAGCCAAAGCTGCTATCTGGCTCTTTCACAAGAAAGATGACTCAAGTTTTTGTATTTAAAACTATAGTCTATTGGGAGAACCCAAAATTATATTTTCTGATGGATTAAAAAAATGACAGAAAAATAAATTTTTCCCAACTAGTTAGTTCCCTGTCAATATTTCAAGGTCACTTGGCTTATCACTGGCCAATATTATTTGGCTATTTGATGTAGCAGATGGTCAAAATTACATTCTCTGTTGTGTTTAGGTAGACACAGTACTGATGCCAGAGCACGGAAGCCCAAGAGCCAGCAGGAAGCAGGCACACACAGGATTAAAGCTGGGGCGCGAGAACACGAGGAGTCACGGAAACAGTCAGTGGACCCCATACGTCTGTGTCTAGGAGACTTACAGAATCCCCAAGAACTAAATTCATGAAATATGATGAAAGCTATGGACACTTTCTACTAACAGGAAATTAGCATGCTCCTGGTGCAGAAAGGTCATTTCCTTCATTCCAAATGACCCATTTGGGAGGAAGAGGGAATTTTTCTATTGGGTGCACTCCATGTGAAGCAGGGAAACAATCCCAAAAAGCTCAAGTGAAAAAGAGAACTAGAACCTGGGTCTCATCTCCCCACACCATGTATCCAGCACCCTATTGGAGGAGGAAATTCAGCTAATATGTTTTATGTGCTCATGTGGTTACTTGTACTTGTTTCTTTCTCCTCGTCATTGGTCCCCAAACCCCACTCAAGCCTGGCCCAAGGAGCTACACCAAGTGTACAACAAATACTTTGGAGCTGCTCTATGTTACCGGTCTCCTTGCTAACCCACACTCATTCCACTCGATGTCTATGCCTTGATGATGGTTTCTGATCCTGCTTGAATATCTTCCTTGTCCAGCTGATAATGCAAGACACTGAGAAGTTAGAGCACTTCTAACTTCTGCACTCCACACAATACTGAAAACACCAGAGTAACCCTCTGAAAGCTTCCTGTTTGAGGACACTGCCCTGAGGTTCACATGCTCATGTGTGTAGGTCCTACATTCGCTAAACAAACGTGAAAAAGCCAGAAGCATGTCTGCATCTTGCTGGAAGAAGAGAGATGAATGCACCAACTAAATGTCATGGAAAACTCACTGGAGGAGGATTGAGGCCCTCACTCATGTAAACTGGTGAACGATTGCACAGGAAACCTTGCTAGTCTTCAGGTAAGAATGCAAAGGGTTTCACAGGCACCCAGAGAGAAGTCCCCTGTGTCCCCACGATGGGTAACTGAACACACTGAGTGTAGAGCCTCAGAACAAAATAAAATCTCCACAATAAAATCCCCACAAGTAACAGCTGTTGTGGAACAATTTCACAACCAGAAAGAGTAGTGAGAAACAGCAAGCTCAATGTTAACTGTTAAAGAAATTACGACAAATGATAATAAAGAACTACTTTTCTTGAAATAAATCTGAGCATATTGTTTTTTTTTTAATAGTTTATCTTCAGTTTGCCTCCTTCGTGACAGGGCTCCATGCAGAGGACTTCTGGAGGACAGGATGCACCAAGGTGATGCTCTCTGGGGGCTACACCCTGGGGAGAAGTGGGCACTGAGGGGTACAGCTGAAGGGAAAGGATGAGTTTGGCCACGTTCACTCTCCCCAACTTCTCCACAAGGCCCCTCAAAAGCCAAAAACTGGACCAGGATATTCCTGGGAGTGAGGGTTTGGCTAGGGATTGAAGAACAGGAAACCTGTGCAGGAGCCAGGAATTGCTGTCCTGGGTCAATAAGACCAAAAGAATTACATTTATTAAAGCTTCAACTACAACTGAGTAAATAAAAGATAAGAGAAAATAACCATGGAACCCAAAGCAATAAGTTCCATCAAGGGATTTCGGTGGTATCATCAACTATGAAATCCGAGCAAAAAACCCCATTACCTCCCCAAGAAACAGGATTTCCTTGCAATAAGGCATTGCATTTTAAACACAAAATTTTAATACTGATGTCAGGGTTCCATTCCAAATGCCTGGGGTTTCCAATCTCCAAGCCCAAAGACAGAGATGACATGGCCAAAAGGAGTTGGACATGAATTGAGACATAAAATGTCTTTTGTCCTCAAATCCTCAAAAAATACTGGGAAAAAATACTGGGAACTCTCACGTAAACAAACAAACAAAAACCTGATATGACAAAGATACCACCAAACTGCTTTATACTCAAGCTCATGTTGGTAAACTGCAATCTACTGTACTACCACCGATTCTTTGGCTACCATTCCAGAGCTATTTTGGAAAGAAAATGGGCACGTACTACAAATCATGGAGAAAAGAATAAAGGGAAACGAGGAAAACAGAGCCATGGCCTCTTCAGTTGACCCTAGTACAGGGGACATTTAGAGTCCTCTCTTAAAGACTTGCACGAAAGCTTAATTTAAACATCCAAGCTTGCTGTGCACTCCAAGTTCATTCTCCAAGACATTAAAAAAAAATCCAGAATAAACTATCTCCATTGCTAGGAAACACCTGCTTATAGAGGTTACATCCCAACCCAAACTTCCGCTAACAACCTGGGTCTACTGATGTCTACCTGTGTGTGACAAATCCTGTTCTCAACAAATTTTCTAGCTTTCTTGTTACTTCTCAGGCTGCCCAACCTGGAGTCAACAGGGACACAGAGATAGCCACAGGGTCCTGACCTCTATGACTTTTTCTACACCATCTGGTCATTTCCCAGGCTTTGAGCAGGTCAAACCCTGACCCTGCTGGCCAGACTCCCTCTCCCTCCCAAGTGGTTCGGGCCTCATACCCAGAATCCCACCCTTGGAACCTGCCTAATGAGATGCAGCCGGGGGTGGGGGTGGGATGGGGTGGTGCCTGACGAGGCAGATGAGACTCCGTGGGGCAAGCCAGTCAGCCAAGGGCATGCTTTCCCAACAGAAGAGAGGAGATGTTTTCATTTGGAGAAGGAGGGAGAATAATTTGTTCCTGACCCAGCTAATTAGAATACCCTCAATTGGGATCACAATGTATTTAATTAAATTCACTGTAATATACAAAGAATCCACCAAGGCACAAATCCCAGTGGTATACTCAATAAAGGAGCGGCATCCTTTCAGAGTTCTTGCTGTCCTCACCAGGCAGGAAATTTTTCTCCTACGCAAATCCTAAATTCCCCAACCCTCTCTGTCTCTATCACAGAACTCTCTCGTCAGAGATGGGGGCCTGGGTTTTGTGTTACTTTTTTCTCTTTACTTTGTGTTCACGCTTCCTAACTGCTCTCCTCTGTCACGTCAGAAGTGTCGTTCAAAACAGAAAACAAAACAACCTTAACTGTGGTTAGGGCATTGTAGTGCTACCCAGAACCCAAAGGAAACTGGCTGTTGAGCCCACCTGGTGGGGTTTTATTTCGGTTTGATTCCAAGTCTCCACGACACATGAGGTACTGCTCGTGCGCGCACACATGCACACACACATGCACACACACACACACACACACACAGCACATATGCCCAACCCTAGGGGCTTAACCTGCAAGTGATTCAGGCAGTGCCAGTGATGACTGAGAGGACATCGCAAGGGGAAATGAGGACATCCTTTTGGCTTGAGGAACATTGTCAGAATATTCCACCTGAGCACTGAAAAGCATGGAAACCTTCTAGCTTGCTCAAGAAAAATGAGCATCTTCCACAAACTACTACTGAGGAAGCATGGCCAACCAGTAAATCAAGAAAGGAAAATCAACCAGCTAAGGAAGGAAGGGTGGTGGCTGAGGCCCACCCAGCCTCTCCCTATGACCTTGAATCTGACCACGGTTTTCTTTGATTGTCCCCCAATCTCTCCAGCTGATATAAAAAGTGTCTACGAAAGACTGGCTTGTATAAACTGCAAAGGTACAATAGTTTTCACTGAAGGAAACTTCTCCACTTGGCCACAGGATTAATTTCCTAAAAGATCAGAGAAGTACAATGTCCTATAAGAAGGAAATAAGTATCTAGTTTGACTCATCAATGGGAGCAGAAAAAGAGCCCAACAATCCCCAACTCCTCCAGATTACCACTGTGCAGCAGACAGTCCTCAGTGCCAGCAGTTCAGACTTTGACACCGTTAGGTGGTCGGCGCCTACTGGTGGAAATGAGGCTGGGGTGGACTCACTCATATTGGTCAGAGACCTCTTCTTGAGCCTCTTTCTGATCTTGCTACCGCTATTTATAGTTTTAAATGCTCATCCCATCTCAGTGTAGCTGGAAGATGACACTCTGATGCTCCTGACATGGAAACATCTGATGTCCCACATCTGTCTCTGTGACTTCTCTTTCAGGTCTAGTTTGGGGAGAGGAACTCAAAGAGCAAAAGCCCTCACTGCAATAA